TTAACATACACTGTTAATTCTTCAGTTTTTATAACCAAACTCAACAGCATTTCAAATAACGGCAACAATAACAATAACAAGTAACATGACTTACAAGGTCAACTATTTTTCCACGCATAAATAATATCTCACGTCGTCACCAAGCGCCAATATATATTTTACAAGCATTATAACAAATTAGGTGGATTAACTCTACAAAGCCTAAGTCAAAAGATTAACTGCTACTCGCAGCTGCTTGTCCAAGGGCTTTCTTCAGTTTATGCTGCTCGCGCTTTGTTAGGACTCGCGAAATGGCCTTCTTTCTAGCTTTGATGTTCTTTTCTCGTTTAGCCTCAAATTCTGCTTCCTGAAAGGGAGGCTTGATTGAAACTGACAGCTGATTACGTGATTATTTAGTTGGCACTCACCTCCTTAGCCTTTGCAGCCATATGCTTTTCACGAGCTGCATCGTGTTTTTTGACGATATCACTGAACAAATATTTCATGGCGAATAAACAATAATTAAGGGCAAAGTTCGCTAAACACTCACTTGTTGATGGTTCTGAGCATATCCATCATTCTCTTTCTCTTAGCCTCCTCAGGTTCCAATATCAGGGCAGTGTTTCGAGCTATTACACCCTCCTTTGGCTGCAAAACAAGGGTAATTAATATTTGAGCGGGAACAACAAGTAACCAGACCAACCTCCTTAGTTTTTTCTTCATAGGTTGGCTTAAGTTTGAACGGAAGACTCTGTTGAAGCTTACTTGGAACCACCAATGGAGCTGGCTCCATTTCTTCACGCTCTACTGGCTAAAACACGCCAAATCAAAACTGACATTAGTCGTAGACACCCGAAACTGACCTTATAAAGCGAATCCTCGCGTTGTTCTGGTTTTATGCCAAGTTCAAAGCGAATCTTCCCTACTGTACGCATTCCAACCCATGGCTCTCCAGGTGGTAAAAGATGATCGATGACAGGAGCGTAGAAGCGAGGTACAGGCACGGAGATCCACGTTCTCAGAAACACAATATCTAAAGGAAAGAAATTCAAACGACAATGGTTCGTTGTTGTGGTTATGGATGATAGTATCTAAGCACAAAGAAACGACTGTCTAAACCATGATTAGAGAAAAACAAAAATTCTGGAGAATGCAGCAAGGATGTAAAAAGCTATGGCGGAAATCAACTGAAAACGCGATCCTTTTTCTTCCGA